ATGAAGTTTCTAGGCTACTAACTTGTGAAAAATGAGCTGGTCTATCCCGAAAAGGAAACTACCACTATGTAATTTAATATGAAAAGCTAAGCTAGGCTCTGTACCCTTCAACAATTAATTTATGTTTCTCTAGAGGACTAAGGTCTATAATGTATTCAGAGTCTGCTCATGGACTGGGTCTATAATTTATTCAATTAAGTATTAATGTATTCAGAGTCTGCTAAGGGACTGGGTCTATAATATATTCAATTAAGTATTAATGTATTCAGAGTCTGCTAAGGGACTGGGTCTATAATTTATTCAATTAAGTATTAATGTATTCAGAATCTGCTAAGGGACTGGGTCTATAATTTATTCAATTAGGTATTAATGTATTCAGAATCTGCTAAGGGACTGGGTCTATAATTTATTCCATTAAGTGTTAATGTATCAGAGTCTGCTAGGGGGCTGAGCCTATTTTTCTATATTTATCTCAAGGGAACAGGGATTATCATGTTGATATATCATAATGACATCACATCACATTTTTTTATGGTAAAACCAGAATTCCGAATTAAGTTTAAAATCTTGAATGTGCAATCTTTCTCTTCCTAATGTGAAATCAGTGTTTGCAGGGTTCATGGGCCTATATTCATACAAAGCTGTCATGCTTATTCTCAGGACATTATAAACCTTTGGTTTGACGTACATCAATTTATTTTTGAGAACTTGAATGTGAGGCTTCGTGTTGAGGAATCTATCGTTCCATTCAACATGCCTGCTGTGTGAGTAAGGCTTACTGCATGGTGATGTCATTACAAAATAGAACAAGTTTGAAGGTTACTTTATGAAAATCAGTGCTGAGGGAGTTCTTCCTAGAAAACTTTGGTTTAGAAATAACTAGAGTGGATTTGGTATTTGGAGCCCAATGCATGATTTAGTTGTACGATCACATTTTTTTTTGGACCAAGACATGAACAGATCAGCAACATCAACATGTGTGAGTAACCGTTACTCCAGCTGATAACAAATCCACTCTATCAACTTTACATCAAAGTTTATTTTATTAAATGATGGGGGAGGATTGGTAAAGCCTTGGTCTTATTCCGAGTCTTAGTCAAGTTTATTATTAGGATTTTAGTCTTATCTTGTTTCCTAAGATGAGTTTTTCCACCAGCAAGAAACTTCTTAGCAGAAGTAAATAAGCCATAATGAATGAAAAAATAAAATTTAAATGTTTCTTCGTAATTTTGAATTGAATCGTGAGCAACTACATGTATGATAATTGACTTTGCCAAATTAAAAGTATATATAAGCATAATATATACCATAGTTGTTGATTTTGGATCAAATGAGACTCTTTGGATTTGTACAGCTTGTGCATATAATACAAGTGCTTTGAACATAATCATTCATGGTAAAACAACTCTTGGTTTTACTTGTATTAATAGTTTAATTCCATTCAATTGTAATATTGTTTCTTGATTGTGAGGTATGGTGTTTCAATGCCATTCTCTGATGGCTCACCTTGTCTTCTATTTATTGATTTTTCATTTCACATATGCCTTGTTTGTAATCATTGATTTGTTTGCACTTTTGGCGTATTATACTCCATGATTCTGCACAGCTGA